ATGCTAGAATCAGCTGGCAGCTTTTAAAAACATTCGGTATGCCTGGGCCCCACCCTCAGAGTTTCTGTATTGATTTATCTGGGGTGGGGCATAGGCATTGGCAGTTTTCAAAGCTCCCCAGGTGACCCTGCTGTGCAGTTAGGTGGAGAACCACTGGCCTAGACATTCTTCTACAGGCTCAATCCCCACATGAGAAGTTTCACAAGTACAGATCCTCTTTATGTCTTGCTGGGAGACCCCGGGTTGTATAAATGGTTAATGTGCTTGGTTGTTAACTCAAAGGTTGGAGGTTCAAGTCTATCCAGAGGTACCTCAGAAGAAAGACGTGGTGATCTATTTTGAAAAAAAAAAATCATTTCTTGAAAATTCTTTGGAGCACAGTTGCATTCTGACAAACATGGGGTAACCATGAGTTGGTCCCATATTCTTCAGCCTTAGGTAAACCTATGACTGCTTTCAGGAAGCCCAAATAGAGGAAGGGAACTGTGGCCCTTATGATTTCCCAACCAAGAGAGTTGGCAGACAGTGGCAATTACACTGGGAATATTTCATGATGGCATGCATGAATTGTGGTGGCCTGATCCATGGTTACCTGAATATATCCCTTCTCTGCATCTGTTTATCATTTGTGACGTGGGCTCAAAGAGTACCTGCGCCTCTCTAACTGACTAAACATGGATGATATTGTCTGAGGCACTGTCAATTCCTTGGGGTAAGTCAGAATCCCCTAGGTTAGAGCGGGAAGAGTTGAACTTCTTTTCAGAGCTACTATCTATACCTCCCTAAGCTTAAAGAAGAATTCAGAAGGGGGAAAAAAAAAATACTGTAAAATAGTGAGCCTTGCTTCTTTTAAGAAACTCTGGGCAAATGCATTTTATCAAATACATTTTCTACATTTACTGAGATGATTGGTTTTCCTTTTTTATTCTATTCATGTGATTAATTACACAGATGAATTCTTGAGAGTTAAATCAACCTTACATTCCTGGAACAAATTTCTGTTTGTTTATGATGTATTATGCTATTTATATATTGCATGATTTGATTTTGTTGTATCTCTGTACAAAAGGAATACATTAGTGGTGCATATCGCAGTACCTTTGGCAGGCCTCCTCACCTCTATGTGCTGTGGCGCTGGGTGTTAATGTGCTAGACTGTAAGGTCACTTGAACTGCATGGTTGGTGGTTCAAGCTTACCAACTGCTCCTTGGAAACAAAAATACGATCATTATAGGTCAGAATTGACTCGATGACATTTAACAACAACAACAGCAACAACCTTCAAGAATCCACCACTCAGCTGTCAGTTTATATACTGTGGTATCTTGCTTGTCACTGTGATGCAGACTAGGACGAAGGCTGTGTTGTTGTAAAGGATTTCTGAGGAGTGGCTGGTGAGTTTGAACCCCCAACATTGAGGTTCAAACCAACCTTGTGGTCCAGTACATTATCCTGCTGTGCCATAGCAGAGGCAGCCCATTTCTGAATGGCTAATCACTGAAAACCTTATGAATAGTAATGGGAAATTGTCAGATATAGTACCAGCAAGTGAAAACATTATGAATAGTAGGAGAATATTGTCAGGTACAGTGTCAGAAGATGAGCCCCTCAGGTTAGAAAGCACTCAAAATATGATTAGGTAGGAGCTGCCTCCTCAAAGAAGAGTTGACCATGATGACATGAATGGAGCAAAGCTTTAAAGACCTTCATTTGTTGAAGGGGCAAAACTCAAAATGAGGAGAAACAACTGTAAACATTCATAACAATCACAACATGGAATGTATGAAATATGAATCTAAGAAAATTTGAAGGTGTCATAAATGAATAGAACACATAAAGATCAAAATCCTAGGCATTAGTGAGCTGAAATTGATTGGTATTAGCCATTTTGAATCAGCCAATCATAAAGCTTACTATATCGGTAATTCAAGAAGAATGGTATTGTGTTCATTGTCAAAAAGAACATTTCAAGATCTATCTATAAGTACAATGCTGTGATAGGATAATACCCATACACCTACAAGCGAGGCCAATTAATACCACTAATATGCAAATGTACACACCAACAAGTAAAGCCAGTGAAGATGGAGGTGAAGAATTCTGCTAACTTATTCAGTATGAAATTGATTAAACATGCAATCGAGTTGCATGGAGAATTATTGGTCTTGGAATGTCAAGGTTGGAAACAAAGAGGGAGGATCAATAATTGGAAAATATGGCCTTATTGATAGAAAAGATTCTGGAGATAATTTGAAGGAATTTTGTAAGACAAAGGATTTATTCATTGCAAATATTCAAGAATTCTATTGGCAAAATATTGAATGATGCAGAAAGCATCAAAAGATGGGAGGATACACAGAGTCACTGTACCAAAAAGAAATGATCGATGTTCAATCATATCATAAAGAACGGAGTCCTGATGTGGTACTGTGAATTAATGAGCTAGACTGAAAAGTTGTTTTGAACCACAGGTCAAAGTTGGTGGTTCAAGCTCAACAGCCACTCCTTGGAAACAGGGTCACTATGACCATCACTTGATGGTATTTAACGATAACAACAGCATATCATAAAGAATTGATGCAAGAAATCCAAGCAGTACTGAAGTCTTTGGTGAAAAATAAGGGTCCAGTCATTGATGGAATACAAGTTGAAGTCATTTAGCAAACTATGCCACACTGAAAGCACTCACTAATCTATGCCAAGAAATTTGGAAGACAGTCACCTGGCCAACTGATTGGAAGAGATGCATATTTATGCCCATTCCAAAGAGGGGTGATCAAGTGAAATGCAAAAATCATTGAGCAATATAATTAATATCACATGGAAATAAACTTTTATTGAAGATACTTGAGAAACAGTTGCAACAGTACATTGACAGGGAACTGCCAGAAATTCAAGCTGGATTCAGAAGAGGACGTGGAACTAGAAATATCATTGTTGATGTCAGATGGATCATGACAGAAAGCAAAGAATATCAGAAAGTTGTTCCCTTGTGCTTTATTGACTATGCAAAAATTTTCAACTGTGTGGACCATTACAAGCTCTGTATAACATTGCAAAGAGTGGGTATTCTAAAACACTTAATTGTGTCCATGAAGAACATGTACATAGATAAAGAGGCAGTTGTTCAGACAGAGAAGGGGATATTGACTGGTTTAAAATCAGGAAAGGTGTGCTCCAGGATTGCATCTTTTTACCATATTTATTCAAACTGTATGCTAAATTATTCATTGCAAATGATCTGGGAAATTGGATTACATGAATAGTAGCATAAGTGGCATCAGGACTGGAGGAAAACTCATTAACAATCTGCAATATGCAGATGAGACAACCTTGCTTGCTGAAAGCACAGAAGGTTTAAAATGCTTATTGATGAAGATCAAAGATCATGGCCTTCAGTATGGAGGATTGCACCTCAATGTAAAGAAAACAAAAGTCCTCACCACTGGACCAATAAACAACATCATGAAAAATGGAGAAGAAATTGAAGTCATCAAAGGTGTCATTTTGCCTGGATCCACAATCAGCACTCATGGAAGCAGCAGCCAAGAAAACAAATGACATAATACATTAGACAAGTCTTCCACACAAGACCTCTTTAAAGTGCTCAAGAGCAAAGATATCAGTTTGAAGACTAAGGTGTACCTGACCTAAGCCAAGGTATTTTCAATAGCATCATATGCATGTAAAAGTCGGATAATGATTAAGGAAGAGAAGAGAAAAATGGATAAATTTGAGTTATGGTGTTGGAGGAGAATTTTGAAGGTACCATGGATATCCAGAAGAATAAACGGATTTGTGTTGGAAGAAGTACAGCTAGGAAGTTCCTTCGATACCAGAATCACAAAACTTCATCTCTTGTATTTAAGGCATGTTATCAGGTGGGACCAGTTCCTGAAGAAGGACATCATGTTTGGTAAACTGGAGAGTCAGGGAATAAAAGGAAGACCTCCAACGAGATGGATTGGCACAGTGGCAGAATCAATGGACACAAACATAACAACAATGGTTAGGCTATCACAGTATTGGGTCATGTTTCATTATGTTATGCATAGGATTGCTATTAGGAGTTCTGGTGTGGCACTAGAGGGTAAGCAGTGGACCAAAAGGTCAGTTGGAAGTGAAAGTTTCCTTTGGAAACCCTATATAGGGTCAATATGTATCAGAACCTAGTCCACAGTGCTTAACAACAGGGTCACTATTAATCAGAGATGATTTTACAGCACCTAACAACAATAACCTTCCAGAATTCTGTTCCATGAACATTAAATAAATAATATGTATAAAGGTGCTAAGGAGCTCTGGTAGCGAAATGGTTACGAATTGGGCTGCGAACCGCAAGGTCAGCAGTTCAAAAACTATCAGCTGCTTTGCGGAAGAAAGATGAGGCTTTCTGCTCTCGTAAAGATTTACAGCCTCCGAAACCCTGTTCAGGGTTGCTATGGGTCAGAACTGACTCTACGGCACTTAACAACAACAACAACATAAAGGTGCTAGCACTGCAGTTGGCACATAATAGCAATTTAGTCCTTTGCTTTCCCTTCAAGAATGCTACTAGCTCTTATTCTCTGATGTCAAATAGGCAAACAAGACCCAGGGAATCCCACAAAGTCGTCATTTGCTGATAATGTATAAGCTGAAGCCACTTGATCAAGTCCTGGTATCCAAGTCCCTCAGCAGGAAATACTGGTCTCTTCATCTTTATATTCCCAACCATACCAACTTGAAGCTCCTGAGTTTCTACACTGACGGTCTTCGGATTTACAAATTGTTTTGGATGGGTTGTAATTTGCATTTAGTGACACTACTTGTATTTGTATTGCACGTTTGCTTGTGGTGACTTGGTGCTGGTTGCAGGAAGCATGGTTCCACTGCCTGGCGTAGTTCCTGGCACATAGTAAGTAATAGTAACCGGATGTGAATGAATGGACTAATCTTCCATTTCCACAACTTACCTCTCTGCCCAATGGAGTCATGGACAAATTGAAGAATGCAAGTGTTAAGAAATAGTTCTGTTTATTGATTAGAACATGGATAAAATTACAGCAGTTTGCAGGCATTCTGGGCTCTTTTTGTAGGGACATGCAGCGCTGGACTCGAGCAGGGGATGGGGAGGAGGCATGGACCACAGGGCAATGACTCCCTTCCTGGGCACATGAAGGGACTTGTGCTAACAGTACAGACACTAGTGAGAGATCATGTTTGGCCCATTCTTCTGGAGACAATGGATGTGGGCAGTTTGAGTCATCAGACAATGCCGTGCTTAATAAATCAGTCTTTTCCTGCTTGTGTTAGGCGCTGGCTCTCCCAATCTAACCATGGTTGATTCTAATTATTCTGTAGAATGTTCATTCTTCCCACCCAAAGGAGAGAATCAGGCACATTGGTCCCGCAGGCCATCAGAAGGAGGTGTGTGTTGGCCGCTCAGGCCTTCTGGCTTCTAGATATGATGAGCACTCAGAGGCAGATGGGCTGGAGCACGCAAGCAGATGATCGTGCATGACTATTCAAGCTCAAGCAGAGGGACCTTCCATAGGGCAGCCGTGTGAAGAGATGAGCATGCTTCCAAAACAAACTCAAGTTTCATCTTGTCTCTCTCAAGAAGAGGGAGGAAGGAGGACTGGCAACCAGAGACCGAGCCAGGTAATGCTGGGTTCTATAGAAAGTCTTCAGCAGAGAATGCTTTCAAAGTCTTTAAAAGGCATTTCTGTCCCAAGAGTCGGCATGTAAAGTCAGAACAAGGGCAGACCAGGGTGTTAAAGTGGTTGTTTGGTACGATGTCTCTGAGAGTTGAATGGTTGTGTCTCCAGTTACATGACATTTTGGAATAGCTGGAGGGACCTCATGATGTTGTCATCCTGGAAAGGGGGGAAGGAAAAGAGAAAATGATTAGATGTCTCTGAGGCTCCTCAGGCTCCGTAATTCAGGGGAGCAAACCTCTTGCATGGATGTCCTGTGCAGAAAGAACTCTGCAAGGCTGTGAGAAATGAAGGCTAGGGTGTGAGGACCTAAGAAGTGAACAACGCAAATCAAGAAGCACCTTCTCTGGTCTTAAAGAAGGATTCAGAAGAAACAAACTACCTAAGTGAATGCTGCTTCTTTTAAGAAGCTCTGAGAATGGCATTTTATCAAATTTTACTGCATCTATTGAAGTGGTCAGGTGGATTTTCTTTTATTCTATTAATCTGATTAATTACATAGATTATTTCTTGAATATTCAGTCAACCTTGCATTCCTGGGGGGAAAAATCTCACATTTATTTATAATGTATAATTTTTTATATATTGCTAGATTTGATTATTTGTATTTATTCAAATAGAATATGTTAGCCTGAATTTTCTTTTAACTTATTACAAGTAATGGCCTTGTCAAATTTCTGTATTATGGTTCTGCTAGGTTCATAAATCAAGTTGAGTAGTTGTCTTACTCTCTCTATTCTCAAAGACTGTATACGATTAGTATATGTCTTCCTTAAATGTTCGGAAAAATTTACCAGGGAAGCTATCTAAGCTTGTCATTTCCTCTGTAGGAAAGTTTTATATTACAGATTCAGTTTCAGTTGTTTTTCAACAGACTTCATATTTTCTATTTCTTTTTATGTTTGTTCCCATAAATTGTGTTTTGCAAGGAATCCATAGATTTCAGTAAATTGTCCAATTTATTGATAATGAATTCCTCAAGTCCTCTTTTTTGAATACATGGATGTTACCTTTTTACTCCTGATATCGATCATTTGAATTTTCTCTGTCTGTTTTGTTTTTTTGGGGGGTGGTGGGAAAAACATTTTTAAAAAACTTTTTATTGTGGATTAGGTGAAAGTTTACAGAGCAGATCATCAGTTTTATATTCAACAATTCATACACATTTTGTTTCATCTCACTGATTACAACCCCCTCAGTGCATGCAGCACCATTTATCCCATTTCCTCTCTGTGTTTTGTATTTCCATTTTTCCTTGTTTCCTAACTTTTTCAAACTTTGTCCTTGGGTAAGTGCTGCCCTTTGATCTCAACTGGTTGATTATTCTAAGCTGTGCATATCTCACTAATGCCATTGTTCCCTTATAGATCCGTCTATCATTTGGCTGAAAACTGAGCCATAGGGATGAATTCACTGAAACGTGACCAAAGGTTATAGTCTCTGGGGTCCTGAAAGATTTACAGATCTATTTAAAGATCTAGATTTATAGATCCATGCAGTAAGCCTAGTCTATTTATGATTTTGAGGTTTGTTCTGCATTTTGTTCTACTCTATCCAGGATCTTCTCCACCACTTGTCTGTTATTTTGTCATACGGTGGCAGCTTGAAAGTTGCTATGATGCTGGAAGCTATGCCACCCACTAGTATTTTAAATACCAGCAGCATTTCCCAGTGAACAGGTTTCATCTGAGCTTCTAGACTAAGACAGACTAGGAAGAAGGAGAGTGGGACTACTTACGAGTGTTTGTTGTTGTTGTTGTTGTTAACTGCCGTTGAGTCGGTTCTGACACACAGAGACCTTATATAGGGTTTCTGAGGAGCAGCTGGTGAGCTTGAGCCCTCGACTTTGCAGTCAAACAGACCTTACAGCCCAGTTCATTAACTCACAGCACCACACCAGGACTCAAAAAACCCCCAATAGCATCTGGTATTCCTAGTTGGTCTCCCAGGCAAGTACCAACCAGGCCAGACCTTGCTTAGCTTCCGAGATGAGATGAGATCAAGTGCATTCAGGGCTGAATGTTTAGCCACTGAAAACTTTGTGAATAGTACTAGAACACAGTCACATATTGTACTGGAAGATGAAAACAAAGCACCAGAATATTGTCAGGTATAATGTCAGAAGATGAGCTCTTTAGGTTGGAAGCCACTCAAAATACAACTGGGAAAGAAATGCCTCCTCAAAGTAGAATTGACCATGATGACATGAATGGAGTAAAGCTTTTGGGACCTTCATTTGCTGATGAGGTACAACTCAAAATGAGGAGAAATAGCTGCAAACATCCATCAATAATCAAAACATGGAATGTAGAGGTATGAAACTAGGAAAACTGGAAGTTGTCAAAAATGAAATGAACGCATAAAGATCAATATCCTAGGCATTAGTGAACTGAAATGGACTGGTACTGGCTATTATGAATCTGACAATTGTATCACTTACTATGTTGGGAATGACAAATTAAAGAGGAATGACGTCGCATTCATCATCAAAAAGAACATTTCAAGCTACATCTTGAAATACAATGCGGTCTGTGGTAAGATAATATCCATATGCCTACAAGGAAGACCCAGAGTCCTGGTGTGGCACTGTGGGTTAATGTGCGGGACGGTAAAGTTGGTTTGAACCACAAGGTTGGTGGTTCAAGCTCACCAGTTGCATCTTGGAAACCCTATACAGGGTGGTTATGGGTTGGAACCAACTCGAGAGCACTTCACAACAACAACAAACAACAAAGACCAGTTAATGTACCACTATTATTCAAAATTACCTATGAACCACTAAAGCCAGTGATGATGAAATTGAATAACTCTACCAACTTCATCAGTCTGAAATTGATCAAATATGCAAACAAGATACATTAATAATTACTGGTGATTGAAATGCAAAGGTTGGAAACAAAGAGGAAGAATCAATAATGGGAATATATTACCCTGGTGACAGAAATGATGCTGAAGATCGCATGATAGGATTTTGCAAAACCAATGACTTCTTCATCGCAAATACCTTTTTTAAACAACATAAAAGACACATGGACCTCACCAGATGGAATACAAAGAAATCAAACTGACTACATCTGTGGGAGAAGATGTTAGAAAGGTTCAATATCATCAGCCAAAACAAGACCAGAGGCTGACTGTGGCACAGACCATCAATGGCTCATATGCAAGTTCAGGCTGACGCTGAAGAAAATTAAAACTAGTCCTCAAAAGCCAAAATATGACCTTGAACATATGCCACCTGAATTTAGAGACCATCTTAAGAACAGACTTGATGTATTAGACACTAATGACTGAAGACCAGAAGAGTTGAGGGGTGACATCAAGAACATCATACAGGAATAAAGCAAAAGGTCATTAAGAAGACAAGAAAGAAAGACACAATGGGTGTCAGAAGAGACTCTGAAACTTGCTCTCAAGCAAAGGTGCTAAAGCAAATGGAAGAAATGAGATAAAAGCTGAACAGAAAATTTCAAAGGGCAGCTTGAGAAGACAAAGTCAAGTATTAAGATGAGACCTAGAGATAGAAAACCAAAAGGGAAGAACATGCTCAACATTTCTCAAGCCGATAGAATTGAAGAAAAAAATTCAAGCCTCAATTTGTAATATTGAAGGATTCTTTGGGCAAAATATTGAATGATGTAGAAAGTCTCAAAAGAAGATGAGAAGAATACACAGAGTACAACAACAACAAAAAAGGTTGATGTTCAATCATTTCAAGAGGTGGCATATGATCAAGAACCGACGGTACTGAAGGAAGAGATTCAAACTGCACTGAAGGCAATGGCAAAGAACAAGGCTCCAGGAATTGATGGAATACAATTTGAAATCTTTTTGCAAACTCAGGCAGCACTGGAGGCACTCATGCAATGATGCTAAGAAGTTTGGAAGACGATACCTGGTCAGCTGATTGGAAGAGATCCATATTTGTGCACGTTCCAGAGAGAGGTGACCCAAAGGAATAGGGAAATCATCAAACAATATCATTAAGATCACATGCAAGTAAAATTTTGCTGTAGATAGTTAAAAAATGGTTGTATCCGTACATTGACAGAAATGCCAAAGGTTCAAGCCGGATTCAAACAAGGATGTAGAACGAGGGATATCATTGCTGCTGTCAGATGGATCTTGGCTGAAAGCAGGGAATACCAGAAAGATATGTACCTGCGCTTTATTGACTATGCAAAGGCTTTTGACTGTGTGAATCATGACATGCCATGGACAACGTTGGAGAGAATGAGTATTCCAGAACACTTAACTGTATTCATGAAGAACCTGTACATAGACCAAGAGGCAGTCATTAGAACAGTAGAGGCAGTGTTTCATTCTGTTGTGCATAATAAGGTCACTATGAACCAGAACCGCCTTCAGGGCACCTAACAATGACAACAGCAATCTAGGATCTTCAACTTTATTTACCTCTTCAGAAAGGCAACTTTTGGCTTTCCTGACTTTGTAATTTCGTGTTCTCTAGTATATATTTTTCTATTATAAATTCTCCTATCATATAGTCTCTAAGGTAAAAGTATTGAATGCAGAATATCATCAAGTGTTTGGATGTTAAACAACACACTTCTACATAATCCATAGGTCAGAGAGGAAAACATTTTGAATGAAAAGATAATGAAAATATAATCACATTTTATGGCAGCTAAAACAGTAATCAAAGGGATGTTTATACTTTTAAGTGCATAGAGAAAAAAGTAGCTAGAAATCAATGACCTAAGCTTCCATCTCAGGAGCTGGAAATATCTCTCCAACTCATCAAATTGAATGAAAACCAGAACAAAACAAAAATCAAAGGAGGAAATAAGTCAGAGCAGAAATTATGGAAAGCAAACCTACAGCAGAGTAAACTAACTGACAAAGACAAAAGTTGGTTCTGGTTACTTGAAATCTTTCAACAGTTGTTAGAACAGCGAGGTAATACTACCTAGTGCATAAGTATATGAGTTCTTATTCAGGCTTGTTGTTGTTGTTAAGTGCCATTAAGTCGGTTTCGATCCATGGTGATCCTGTAGAGGGTTTCCAAGGAGCAGCTAGTGAGCTTGAACCGCTGACCTTGTGTCTCTAACCGACTTTGCAGTGCAGCACATTAATCAACAGCACCATATTCAGGCTACCTGCATTCAAATTCTGGCTCTGCCACTTACTAGCTGTGTGACCTTGGACAGATTACTTAATCTCTCTATGCCTCACCTTCTTCACGTGGTCATTGTTGTTGTTGTTGTTGTTAAGTACTGTGGAGTCATTTCTGACTCATGTTGTTGTTGTTGTTGTTAAGTGCCATCGAGTCGGGTCCGACCCATAGCGACCCTGTACAGGGTTTCCGAGGGTGTAAATCTTTACGGGAGTAGAAAGCCTCATCTTTCTCCCGCGGAGCGGCTGGTAGTTTCGAACCGCTGACCCTAAGGTTCGCAGCCCGATTCGTAACCACTACGCTACCAGAGCTCCTTATAGCGGCCCTGAATAGGGTTTCTGAGGAGCAGTTGGTGGGTTTGAACTGCTGACCTTGTGGTTAGCCGTCTAGTGCTGATCCTACAGTGCCACACCAGGAGTCCTCATATGATCATGTTGTTGTTGTTAAGTGCCATCGAGTCGGGTCCGACCCATAGCGACCCTGTACAGGGTTTCCCAGTACAGGGTTTCCGAGGCTGTAAATCTTTACGGGAGCAGAAAGCCTCATCTTTCTCTAACTATTGGGTGTGTGTGAAAAAAAAAAAATTCACTAATGAATAGTTAGTTATAGAAGAAGTTGCTAATGTGAGAAAAGGATTAAAATCCTTTCTAAACTGATAAAACCCCAAACCCAACCCACTATCTTTGAGTGGATTTGGCTTCATATAGCCCCTATAAGTCAGAGCAGAAAGACTCCATAGAGTTTTCGAGGCTGTACATTGTTCTGCAAGCAGTCTGCCACCCCTTTCTGACCCTAGTTGCTGCTGGGTTTGAACCACTGACCAATCTGATAAGTCAAGTCAAAAAAGTATACTTCCGCAGAGTATTTTATTTAAAATCAAGTCTGGCAGGAATTCATGCTCCATCACTGCTTTCTGCTGTGACCTTAGTCAAATGTCTTGTGATGCCTCTGTTTTTCTGCTTTAAAATGTTTATTATAGATGCTGCAGTTCAGCCTATTTGTAATGCTCAAAATGCAGAAATATTTCCCACCCTGTTGATAAATAGCTACATATCTGAGCTTCCCTCTCCAGAGCAACTTCTACTCCTCTGGCTACCAGATAACTGGCCCAAGACCCCTGGACCACCCAAAGATCCATCAACGAATGGGTTAATACAGCGGTTAGCAGGGTTCCTCAGGGGCACTCCTCTAGGGCATTGGTTCAGCCAGGTCAGTCAATGACTATGAATGCTTCGCCTGTTTAGTTGTTAGATACTTTGAATATCCCTCTGTATGAATGTCTCTCTTATAGGATTGTTGTGACATTTGTAGAATGTGCCTGAAACATGGTTGGTGCTCAGTATGTGTTAATAACGTTTCCTTTGCTGTCTTGCACTTGCAGTTCTTATTAGGGAAAGCTTAGAATAACTCTGTACCTTTCTGAAATAAAGTGGAGGGTATAAATACATTTTTTCAAAATAGTTGAAAGCAATTATTCCAGTTCAGTGTATCTGGCAGAGACTAGTCTATTCTTTAGACTAATGAAAATGTGGTCCAAGGACCGGCAGCTTCATCATTACCTGGAAGTGTGTTAGGCATGCATATTTCCAAGCTCCACATTTTAACCTAAATTTAGGAGAGACTGGTTTGCACAGGAAAGTTTTAGAAGCATTAGTCTAGGGTATTTGTAGGTGATTTCTAGCCCCCACTCTGTCTCTGTGAAATTAGAGTCACTTACTGGTATTAAGACTTGGAAATCTACAGTAGTTTTTAAGCATGCTATGGCTTGAGAATCACAGCTTTAGCTACTTCCATGTAGTCTGGGGGAGTGAGCCATCAAGCCAGAGAAGGTTGGAAGTGACTATGTTGCCCACTTGGAAAGTCTGTGGTTTCACCTTCCCTAGACCTCTACATAGGCTGCCTGGCTCAGAGCTGTGCTTAACCAAGACCAAATTGCCGGCCAGTTTGAGGAGTGGAGATAGTTGGACTCTGCATTGATGTTATTTTTGTTGTTAGTGGTGGTGGTAGTACTGACTGATCTGAGGGGTAGCAGATATATGCGGGTTACTCAACCCTTTTCCTTCTGTGGCCCTCAGTCCCCAGATTTTCTTTCCCAGGTTTAGAGACCTCTCCTTACCTCCTGACAGGATTCAAGAAATTCATCTAAAGTCACTATGCCATCTTTATTTTTGTCCATTTTCTGAAAGACAAAAGGAAGGACTTTAAGAAATCTGCATCCCAAAACTTGCTTTTTTATTAACCAACTTTCCCCAGAGAATAAGAGTTGTCTTCCATTGATCAGACTACTCCATTTGACCTGGTTAAAGCTTTTTGACCTCTATGAGCTTCTTGAAAATGAAAAGACTTCCTTCAGACCCTCATTGCTGGATTATACTGCTAACATCCTAACATGTTTGCCCCAGTCTCTCCTAGCTTATACTTCTGGCTGAAACCAGGCTGGGCATGGAAGGTTCTAGTTCTATTGCTATTGCTTATTGTATAAACTTGAACAAGTCTTTAAGCCTCTGTTTTCCATCTGTAAAGTGGTAATTGTACTAGAATGAGCTTTGACACTCTGACTCTATATGTTAATTTGAAAAACAAAAACAAAACTAAAACACCACTCTGATTATTCCATTCCCCTCCTCAATGCCAGACCAAAGCCAAACCCACTGTCATTAAGCAAATTCCAATTTACATAGAGCCTATAGGACAGAGTAGAACGGCCCTATGAGATGCCCAAGACTTTAATCTTTATGGGGAGTGTTGGTGTGGTGCTGTAGGATAAGCACTGGACTGTTAACCGCAAGATTGATGGTTCAAACCCACTAGTCATTCCTAGGAAACCCTATACAGGGTCGCTATGAGTCAGAACCAAGTAGATGGCACATAACAATAACAACAACAATCTTTATGGGCTCAAACTGCCACATCTTTCTCCTGTTGAGTGGCTGGTGAGTTTGAACCACTGATCTTTTGGTTAGTAGTCAAGTACTTTAATCACTGTGCCACCAGGGTGCCTCTTAATTGTCAGAACAAACCTAAACTCTTCAATGTTCAGAATCTTACTATCAGAGGTACAGAAAGGAGAAAGAGTGTCCAGGAGCAATCTCTAAATTGGGACCCTCGATTTCCAGATGAATTGACATAGATAGTCTTTATAGCCACGACAGGTCCACAAATAATACACCTTTCTGCTACTTGTCTTTCTGCTTCAGGCAGTTGCCTTTCATGCTTTTGGTTTCTCAGAATGACATTTGACTTCTTGTCTGGCATCCCTTTGGATTTGTGTCAAGGGGCAAGTGTCCCCCCTTGCCACACCTCTGAATCTGGCTACACCCTAGTGTCCAATCTCATTTCTTTTTATTCCCCAGCCACAGATGCTTAACACCTTCACAGATGTGCTTAATGAAGTCTTTTTTGTTTACTCTGATGCCTCAGGAACTTCTGTGGAACTCAGAGACCACACTAGACCACTTACACTTGATTATGTACTTCCCTGTTCTCTTCTACAGTGTATATTTGTCTGCTTAACTAGATGATCTGTTCCTTGAGGACAATATATCTTCTAATTCTTTTCTGTTTCCTGCCGTACTCAGCACAGGGTTGGACACAAACCACTTGTTCAGATGCTTGTGTGCTAGCTGGCCTAAACTGAACTTAGAGCTCTCATACACAGGGTTGCCACTCATACCTGGAAGAAGACGTCCACATGCTGCCTCGGGGTGTCCTCTTTGAGCACGGGATATGTGTATTTCCCCATCATGTCATAGATGGCTTTGACAATGTCCATCATCTCCTAGAGAGGGGACATGGAAGTGTAGGGACCATGAGCTCAAACTTTTCTTAAATGACAGTTTGGGACTTATCCCCTTTGCCAATGAGACAGTTGATGAAAGAGCATTAGAAAGCAGGTTGAAGGGACTATTTTCTGTTCTCACCAGGAGTGTACTCCTAGAAAGAAGTGGAAAGAAAGGCAGTGGAAAATTCCCTTTGCCTTCAGAAGTTTAGGGTATGATACCTTTTCTTGGACCACTTCTCCAAAGGACTTATATATGGTATCCTGATCCCATGGACTCCAGGTAAAGGAAGTGTTATTCTGAATTAAAGAAACATTAATGTTCTGGCTTACTGCTGCTGTCACTTTGTTATAGTATAGGGGCTTATGTTTTGCTGTGATGCTAGAAGCTATACCACTAGCATTGGTGGTTGGTTATGTGTCGTGGAGACGGTTCTAACTGATACCGACCCTGTACAGGGTTTCTGAGGCTGTAAATCTTTAGGGGAGCAGAAAGCCTCATCTTTCTCCCGCAGAACAGCTGGTGGTTTCGAACTGCTGACCTTGAGGTTAGCAGCCCGAATTGTAACCACAAATACCAAACAGGGTTATCCATGGTAGACAGGTTTCAACAGTGCTTCCAGACTAAGACAGACTAGGCTGAAAGACCCGGTAATCTACTTCTACAAATTAGCCAATGAAAACCTTAAGGCTCACAACAGATCACTGTCTAACTTGATTGCTTTGGAGGGATCAATTGTTAAGGAAAGATGTCATCAGAAGGGATCAGTCTTTAGAGGGAGATATAGTGTTTGGTGAAGAAGAGGGTCAACAGGGCAAGGGAGACCTTTAGTGAGGTGGACCGGCGCATGGCCACAACAATGGATTCAATCATGTCAGTGATCACAAGGAAGGCATAGGACCTGGCAGCATTTAGTTCAGTTGTACATAGTTGGCTCTGTAGGATAAGCACTGGACTGTGAGCTACAAGGTCAGTGGTTCAAGCCCACTAGCTGCTCCATGGAAGAAACATGAGACTTTTTTTCTCCTATAAAGATTTGCAGCCTCAGAAACCCTATTCAGGGTCACTAAGAGTTGGAACCAACTTGAGGGCAGCACTTAAGAAGAAGAACAGCAATATAAGGTCACCATGTGTTGACTTGATGGCACATATTTACCTATGTTCTGATATAGCGATTTTAAAAGCCCACCAGATCTGTTGCTGTTTTCAGTTGAGAAAAATGATGGACAGCCAGGGTTATTCTTAGGACCTGTTAGGTCAAGGATTCCACAAGTTAGACATTTGTTAAAAAGATCATGATCAGGACTACCCCAAACATCAGATACTCCTCGAATCAAGGGTCTCTATGTTTGTCATAATATATTGCTGTTGTTGATAAGTGCCGTTGAGTCAGTTCTAACTCTCAGTGACCTTGTATAGGGTTTCCAAGTAGTGGGTTTGAATTGCCAGCCTTGTGGTTAGCAGTCTAATGCTTATCCTGCAGTGCCACTCCAGTTATTCTCAATGTTTATGGCTGATGAAAATAACATTATATCATCCCTGGAGGTAAATGCATATTAGTAGAAAGTCCTACATAATGCAAACTTTTAATTAAAAGAAAAATAAAGGGTGATATGTGAGAGTAAAGGAGCTCCGGTAGCATAGTGCTTATGAATTGGGCTGTTAACCTCAGGGTCAGCAGTTCAAAACTACCAGCTATTCTGTGGGAGAAAGATGAGGATTTCTGCTCCTGTAAAGATTTACGGCCTCAGAAACTCTGTACATAGTTGCTACGAGCCGGAACCAACTCCACGGCACATAACAACAAAATGTAAGATTTCAAGTTTGGGACAATGAGAGAGGTATTTAGCCGTGTACTCATCCTTGATTTTCCAATTCCATGAAGTACATCACTGCCTTCTCTCTGCCAGCATATAACCTAGACCAACAAGACATTCTGAAACGATTCTCTTAGTCTCACCTTGCTAATCCATCGATTTAGTTTCATGTCGCACCCACTTTTTAATCTCATTTTATGATCATGAGAAGTAAAGATTGCACTGTGAATCTTGAGCTGTTATGTGGACACTATGGGTGGAAAAGGCAGGCATGTTTGTGTCCTGATCAGCTCATATCCCTCTTTTTGGAAGACTCTCTCCTCAATCCATAATTTCTTTGAGTGGTTGGTAGCTGTGTGTGTACCAGGTGACCTGTCCTTGTGGCCACAACCAGTTGGAACAAAGGTGGACATCTGACCCAAACTGAGCTACTCATATATCTCTTTTGGGAAGTTTGAGTGAAGAAGCACAGGTCCTACAATCAGAGGGCTGTAACCCTGGAACTCTAAAGTCAAGCAGAGTTGGGGCCAGAATTGGTGTCACAGGCAGGCCTGTTTCAGTTTTAGCTGAGTTTAAATAAGGGAAGAAATAAAAAAATGTCTTCAGAGGAATCTGGTGTGCAAAGAGTAGAATGGAGCAGGTGAACAGAGCATAGAGTAGATGAAGGCAATGCTAGGAGGAAAGGAGAGAAAGAAGAGAGAAGAAGAGAGGAGAAAAGTAGAGAGAGGGTCAGGGAGAAGAGATGTGGGGGGAATATAGGAGCACACACTAAGAAACAGAGAAGAACAACCAAGGAAGACAGACACAGTAACAGAGATCAAGAGAAGCCAGCGAGAGACAATGTCTGAGAATGACTATAAACTAAATCCACCTCTTGGGATTCATGCTGCTGAAACCTTGAACCTGCCATTCCTACCAAGAAAGGTGTGGCCATCCTGATCCAAGTCATTGCTTCAGGAAGGGGAAGAAAGAGAGCAAAGGGAGAGAAAGTGAAGAGGCCAACTGCTGTTTATTTTCAATGGGGATTGCATAGGTTTCATTAGACTCCCTATATCTTTACAAGAAATCTCTCAGAACTTCAGCTAGTTAATGTTTATTATTTTATTTTCTTTCTTCTTCTTTTTTTTTTTTTTTAAGGTTTTTATTGTGGATTGAGTGAAACATCATTGGTTTCCCATTCAAACATTCATATACCATGTTTCATTACATTGATTATAATTCCCTCCACATACCATCAGTTAACAGAGTTTCTCTCTAATCTCTTTAGCTTTTTTTTTTTGGGAAAAACTTTGCCTTTTTAGAATTTACAGTCTCGGCTTTTAGGGAAGGTTTTTACATTTATCTGTGGGTATCCAGGGCTCATGTATGGAATTACTAACCAGCATAACTGAATAATCAGATGAGGGACATTTTGCTATGTCTGCTAGGTGGCTAAAGTCTGATCCTCAGAGTCTATGGTTTGGATGGTCTGCAACGCTTGGGCCCACAGGGACTTGAACTCCTGACCAGATATGCATGGTCTGCCTCAGATTCCCCCTTATTTATTATTTGTTTAAGGGACGCTGCCTGTCTTAGGCGGTCAGTGCGAATTCCCCAGTCTTACCCATCATCGAAACTCATTGCAGCATGGCAATGGCTCTGTCTTAGGTTGCCAAGGTTCCATGTGATCCTTGCCCGTCTCTGGCCACACGTCCAGCATATATTTTATTTTCTTTGTAGCCAAAAATCATAGTGGTTATGAGTTGGGCTGCTAACCTCAAGGTCAGCAGTTTGAAACTACCAGCCATTCTGTGGGAGAAAGATGAGGTTCTCTGCTCCAGTAAAGATTTACAGCCTCGGAAACCCTATATAGCGTCACTATGAGCTGGAACCGACTCCATAGCACACCACCACCACCATCACCATAAAGAGAATACTGAACAATCATTGTTTCTTGGCTGATGGGGACACAGAGAAGTTCCAAATCATGCCATGTTTACCTTCTAATCTTGCTGTGCTGCCTGACATGAAGTCAGTGCTCAGGACGTATTTATTAAAACAATTAAGTTGCCTTTATGATTAGTTTATATACCTGTTTCCTGAGAGTGTGAGCTCTGTCAGACTGCCTGCTGGATCTAACTTTGTTCTGGTGCCTGCATTGGGCACCGTGCCTGCCATGGGGTAGGAGCCCAGTAAGTGCCAACTGAATGAGTAACCCACTCACTGATGGTCTCCAGATCTCATTGACCGAGGCCTTTGTGAAACTTCCGGCCCAAATACTCTCTACCTGTTGATTTACATTTTTCCGGTTTATTGTCCATCTCTCTAACCTCTTCCATGAGCATGGACCCTCATCTGATTGTCAGACACATTACCCAAAGAATACCTTATTAGCCCTCAAATAAATGACTGGATGAATGAGGACTGAAAGTTGGGTAAGCTCTCAGAGCTTTGGTGTTCTCTCTGTAAGACTCCAACGTCACCAGGGATGACATGCTATTAGAACTGACACTCACTGGCAACTCCCAGCCCTGGGCCTGGCATAATTTGTTGTTGTTGTTAAGTGTCCTTGAGTTGGTTCCAACCCATAGCGACCCTGTATAGGGTTTCTGAGGAGCATCTGATGAGTTTGAACCACCGACCTTGCAGTTCAAATGGCTTTGCAGTCTGGCATATTAACCCACAGCACCACACCAGGGCCTAGCACAATAGAGCTCAGTAAATGAGAATCTTACAAATCCAATCCTGTTGCTGTCAAGTCGATTCTGGTCATAGCGACCCTATAGGACAGGGTAGATCTGCCCCATAGGGTTTTCAAGGAGTCCTGGTGTGGTGCTGTGGGTTAATACGCTGGACTGTAAAGTTGGTTTGAATGGCAAGGTTGGTGGTTGAAGCTCACCAGCCACTCCTTGGAAACACTATAGAGGGTGGCTATGGATTGGAACTGACTCAATGGCACTTAACAATAATAACAACAATCTTTAGGGTAGCAGACTGACACATCTTTCTGTTGCAGAGCAGCAAGTGGGTCAGAACCATTGACTTTTCTATTAGCAGCTGAACAGTTAACCACTGCACCACCAGGGCTCCTGTGGGGATGTTATGGATGTTACATTCAAGCTTCCACAGAGAGAGTAGATGCCAAAGTTCCCAAGAGCTGTGGGCATTTTATTGGTTAGACACCACAGATACTTTGATGTTCAGAATGATTTGTGAGGCTTTCTTTAAAAAAATGGCTGGACCTTCCCTTGCTCCTCCTTTCTGTGGTTTTTAGTAGACAAAATCAGTGGGGTCAATGTGATACATTCCTTGTGTGTCTTTCTCCTCACAAAGGAGTCCCTGGGTGGTCCAAATGATTAACGTAATTGGCTGCTAACCAAAAGGCTGGAGGTTCAAGTCCACCCAGAGGCACCTCAGAAGACTGTTGTTGTTGTTGTTGTTAAATGCTGTCGAGTCGATTCCAACCCATAGCGACCCTGTACAGGGTTTCCAAGCTGTAAATCTGTACGGGAGCAGACCACCTCATCTTTCTCCCGCGGAACCGCTAGTAGTTTCAAACTGCCAACCTTGAGGTTCGTAGCCTGATTCGTAACCACTACGCTACCAGAGATCCTTCAGAAGGTAGACCTGGTGATCTAATTCCAAAAAATCCGTCATTGAAAACCCTATGGAACAAAGTTCTACTGACACACAGTGCATAACCGTGAGTTTGAGCCAACTGACAGCAACTGGTTGTTGTTATTGAGTGCCGTCAAGTCAATTCTGACCCATAGCGACCCTGTATAGAGTTTCCAAGGAGCAGCTGGTGAGCTTGAACCATTAACTTTGCAGTTCAAATGGCTTTACAGTCTGATTCATTAACCCATAGCACCACACCAGGACAGCAACTGGTAAACCTACTCAAAAAGCTTCCTTTTCTCTGCCAAGGGATGTTTGTAGGTCCAACTGTGAGCTTTAACTTGTGGTTGTTGACCTGTTCAACTGTAAGTTTCCCAGGGAAACTAAAACAAATCATTTACACCCCAGTGAGAATGAATTTACTTAATCCTGTCTTAAGAACCTGGGCAGGGAAGGGTAAGGAGGTGATCAAATGTGGCATTTTTCATTTTGCCAGGAACCAGCTCTGCTAGCCCCAAAGAAGATCCACTCTTGTTTAGATACACACCTCACACCTGGGCTGTGTTCTCCTTAACAGTGACTTTCTTGTGAATTTACCTCTTTATTTATGTATCCATCTTTATTGATGTCATACAAATTAAATGTCCACCTGAGCTTCTCATGGACGGTTCCTCTCAGTAGGATCGACAGAGCAGTCACAAAGTCCTGAAAAGTGAAAAAGGCATGAGGGACATTAATCACACAGCTACCAAATAGGCTGAGATTTGTCCTTGAGGCTGACTTTGTAATGCCTCACCCTATCTTTTAGCTCTGAGTCTTTGTGTGGCTCTGTAGGATAAGCACTGGACCACAATGTCAGTTGGAACTGCAAGGTCAGCAGTCAAACTCACCAGCCACTCCTTGGAAACCCTGTAGGGGTCACTATGAGTCAGAACCAACTTGTCAGCACTTAACAATTGGTATTGCCTTTTCCCATTACTGCAATTACTTTTGCTTTATTATATAAGTGGCAGATATCTAAGAACATCCACCACTTGACTGTCAGTTTGTCGTACTGTGGTGGCTTGTGAGTTGCTGTGATTCTGGAAGCTATGCCACTGGCATTTTAAATACTAGCAGGTTCACTTATGGTGGACAGGTTTCAGATGAGCTTCCAGATGAAGACAGACTAGGAAGAAGGAGTGATGAGCTACTTCCAAATATTTAGTCAATGAAAACTTTAGGAATAGCAGAGAAGCACTGTCAGGTATAGTGCCGGTGAGCCCCTCAGGTTGTAAGGCACTCAAAATGTGACTGGGGAAGAGCTGCCTCCTCAAAGTAGAGTTGACTGTGATGAC